GGCCGCCAGTACTACTTCTCAGCAACAGACTTCGTAGTCCTCCATAGCGACCCCAGAATCTTGGTGGTGCACTGCAGGAACAAGATACTAGAGTGTGTTGTTGTTTGTGCTCACAGTCCGCACAGTGGTGCGCCACTTGAAACAAGGCAGCAATGGTGGGAGAGCCTACAGCAAATCTCCTTGAATGCCAGTAGTAAGCTTGACCAGATCCTGCTGATTGATGCCAATGCGAGAGTCCATATGCCCATTGATGGAATCATTGGAGAGCTGATTGAGTGTTTTCCGACACCCAACGAGGAACGATTCGTAGATCTACTAGGTGCCAATGGGTTGTTTCTGCCATGTACTTTTGCTGAATTCCAGTGGGGCGATATTGCAACTTGGATCCATCCAAGCGGGGGATCTGCAAGTCGCCTCGATTACATTGCCATACCTGTCCACTGGAGACAATCTGTAGTCTCCACATGGGTAGATTGGGACATCACCTCCGGGGTTGCAGCAATTGATCATGCATGCTCGTCAGCCTTTCTTCGATGGACCCAGATCATTCAGAGCCATCGACAGCATAGTCGATCATATGACAAAGCTGCTATGAATCACCCGGAGGCTAAAACCACCCTGCGCCAAATTGTGGATGGCATACCTGTCATTCCTTGGGAGGTAAATGCATCAGTGCATGCGGCCAAGATTACCAGGTACTTGCGCAATGCACTTTGTCAAGCCTTCCCAAGGCAGCGGAAGGTTCGGCAAAATGAGGTAGCCAGTGCGAAAGCCCGAGATTTATGTACCCTTACGACCAGCCTAAGAAGGCAGCTTAAGCCGTACAAGCTTATGACACGCCTGGCCCGGCTACATGACTGCTTCAATGCTTGGAAGAACAACAGTGCAGACACTAGGGTCTCCAGCCAATGGACACGCCAGTTCTTTGCCAAACAAGCCCTGATAAGACATAATCTTAACCAGGCGGCTTGGAAACTTCGCAAGCAGCTTCAAGCTGATCGCAGGGGTTATCTCGACAACATTTGCACCCAAGTCTGTGGAGCAAAACCCGGCGAGGTTTTCCGAATGCTCCGGCCACTGATAGGAACCAGTCGCAGACATGGCGTTGGCACCCCGCTACCCCAAATCCACAAAGCAGACGGCACTGCCGCAGCCAGTTTTGAGGAATACCAACAGCGATGGACCGAGCACTTTGCACAACTGGAAGGGGGTCACATCACTGACCCCAACCTATTTGTACGACAAGAGCTCGACAGACAAAGGAAGCTGCCGGTCATGCAGTGGCAAACGGTAGCTGATATGCCGTCATTGTCGCACTTAGAAACGGCACTGAGGAAGGTCAACCTACATAAAGCAGTAGGACCAGACCAGGTTCCAGGTGATCTCCTCCATATGTTTCCAAGAGAATTCGCACGAATCCTTTTCCCCCTGTTGGTCAAATTTGCCGTTCGCTTGCACGAGCCAATTCAGTGGAAAGGCGGTCAACTGATCAAACTATACAAGGGTAAAGGCCCAATTCGAGAGTGCGCCAGTTTTCGTGGAATCCTGTTGATGAGCACCATTGGGAAAGCGATCCGAGCAGGCATGAGACACAAGGTCAATAGAGCCTTTGCTGAAAACAGCACTGATACCCATTTTGGAGGCAAGCCCGCACAAAGTGTCATATTTGGGGCACAAATGGTGCGCCATTTCATCTCCACGCACAAGAATGCGGGCACATGCTGCGCTATCCTGTTCTGTGACATTGCTTCTGCTTTCTACCGGGTACTCCGACAGCTCGCCACTGGAGCAAGTGTGAGTGATGAAGAGATTGCCATCATAGTTGCCCGACTAGGATTAGCACCTGAAGTCATGCATAAATTGCACCAGGCTTTGAATGGTCAATCCGCACACGAGCAACTCTTGGGTACCCAACCGGAACGAAGGCTCCTGCAAGAAAGTCTCAACGGGACCTGGTTCTGGACTGAAAAGGGACCATTCGTGCATACCCTAGTAGGAACTAGGCCGGGAGACTCGTGGGCCGACATTACCTTTAACATTCTCTTTGCCGAAGTAATCAACGAGGTCCAAAAAGAACTCATTAACCTTGGCCTGGCGCTTACAGTGCCTGCAAATGCAAAGAGATGTTTTGAGGCAATGGACCCCACTGCACATGACAGTCAAGATACCGCCTGCCATGCCACATGGGCTGACGATTTAGCATTGCTATTGCCCCTGAGATCGCCAGAGGAGGCAGTCGCGCAGACAGGGAGGGCCGCACAGGCTCTCCTAATGCAGCTAGCCAGAGTGGGCTTGAAGGCTTCCTTTGGCACATCCAAAACAGCGGCTCTGCTCTTCATTCGAGGAAAAGATGCTGTCGCGGTTCGCAGGAAGATTTTTGCGACCAAGAGCCCTCAGATCCCAGTAATCCTTGAAGAGGAGACAGTACTGATACCCATTGTCACGCAATACAAGCATCTTGGGGGAATAGTAGCGGCTAAAGCCAACATGAGATTGGAGATTTCCGCACGAATTGGCAAAGCCAATGCTGCATTTGTTCGAATTTCACAGAAAGTCCTCCGATCCAGGCACTATCCCCTGAATCTTCGGCTGCAGATTTTTGAGGCGACTGTCATGTCGATCTTCCAATGGGGATGCGGAGCTTGGCCCATTCTTCAAGAGGGAGAGTGGAAAAATTGGCTCACAGCTTGCTACAGGATGTTTCGCAAACTCAGTCCACTCTCAAGTGACATGCAGGTGAGACACGTCTCTAATGCTGAAATTCTTGTTTCCCTGGCAATACCGACGCCACTTGACCGCCTCCAGACCGCTCGTGTTCGCCACATAGGATCTATGATCAAAAGTGCACCTAATGCTGTCTGGGCTTTGTTACGTCAGGATGCCCAGGCAAGACGGGCGTATGAGCAGGCACTAAAGTGGCTCTGGCAAGGAATCGGCCGAGACAAGGGGGCACCTCCACCTTACGATTGGGAAGCCTGGGAGAAGCTGGCTGTTGAGCAACCGCTCACTTGGAAGCGTCTGATCAAAAAGGTGTCTGGCCGATACAAGAATTACCGGGTCACCCAAGCCCGAGTGCGACAAGCATATGCCGATATTCTTAAAGTCATTACTGAGGCAGGAGGCGCAATTGGAGGCAGGAGCACGCAAACACAACACTATTGTCTACTTTGCGACCAACCGTTCTGCAACAAGCGAGCGTGGTTTTTACACGCTCACTATAAGCACTCGTATATCTCCATGGCAGGCCAGGCGGCTACCGGCACCAGCTGTCCTGTTTGTGCAAAGGAATACTTTTCCAAAGAAAAGCTAAAACACCATTTGCAATATAGTGCAGCCTGTCGCCATTATGCCTGGAGACACAACGAGGGTGCCTCATCCCAAGAAAGAGTGCATGACCAAATGCCATGGATATATACCAACCAGCCGGCAATTCGACATGATGACCGAGAGCACAGGGATGATGTGCAATTATGGGAGAATCTGCAAGAAGCGGTTGCCAATTTTACTTTGTCTGTAGAAGACGAAGGGTTTGCGGAAGATGTTTATTGCAGAATCAGGGAGGCCTGCAACATGCCCATGCCCTTTCCTAATCTTGTTGCTGTTTTCGAGAGATGGAGCAATAACATCGGGCCTAATGCAGATCCCGCTCTTCTCCAAGCAGGGCAGAGGATCCGGAGGGAATTTTCGGACATTTGCCTTCGTTATGTTACTTTTGATGATTGGAATCTAGACAACGAGAATGAGCGAAAGGCAATCCAACTCAGCACAATCAAACCGTGCCGGCCATCTAGATCATTCCGTGAAAAGTATTTCTTGCACTTGTACAGTGGCCGCCGCCGCAAGGGCGACCTGCAGGATGCTTTAGAAGCACTGGAACCAGAAGCAGGTGTGACACTATGGGTTTTGTCTGTTGACGTTATGGTGTCAGGTCAGTATTGTGATCTACTGCAACATGAGACGCAGCTCTTGTGGTTGAGAATTGCACGGGAGGGCTTGGTTGAAGGACTCCTCGCTGGGCCACCATGCGAGACATGGTCGGTCGCTAGGGAGGCCGATGGCATGGCCCCAGAACGTGGTCCCAGACCACTCCGCACAGCAATTGAGCCATGGGGCCTCATTGACTTATCCCAACGAGAGTCTTTGCAGATTGATGCTGGCAACCAGCTTATGATTTTTGCCATCAGGATTTGTCTGACACAAGCTCTTCAGGGGAAATTTTCCCTATTAGAACATCCAGACGACCCTGGGCTACATGACAGCTCCAAAGCAGCTTCGCCTACGATATGGAGGACTGCAGTTCTAGATTGGCTCAGGCAGCTCGACCTGTTCTTTGAGATGCGGCTCGAACAGGGATACTATGGCCAAGTGAGCCGAAAGCCTACTAGGTTTTTGATCAGTGGGGTCATGCCGAGCACGGCCCGACAGATCGAGCTACATTGCAGAACCTCCAAGAGGCCCACATCTTCCACGATAGGAAAGTCTGGCGGCTCCTTTAAGACAGCCAAATTAAAGGAGTATACGGCGGAATTGTGCGCCATGATCGCTCAACTTTATGCTCATCGGTTGAGACCCCAATGCGAAGCTTGGATGCGGCTCCCGATGAGTATGTGTGGATGAGGACCCTTTCAGTCAGTAAGTGTGAGCACCTGACTCACGGCCCTGACTACGTCGGCGCTGTACAGACATGAATTCATACTGCGAGGCGGCGCGCTTCACTGCACTAGCCGTACATGGAAATGGAAATGGAAATTATCCGAACCCTTGTACCAATTTGCATGCATCAACGCATGCAACGGGTGATTCTTTCCTTTACCGAGATGTCCATTCCTCCAGACACGCATATTGGTTTGTTGTTTAAATGTATGTAGTCGATTCACATTTTATACAAATTGGTTTCTGCAGAAAGCTGAATTCAGGGTTTGATAGTTACATTCCAATCGCTTCCTTCCAATCGGCTCTTTCCCATCCGCCCCGGGTCGTTCGCGGCTGCCTCCATCCAGGGCATCCACAAAGCGGACCTCATCCGCGCGCGAGGTGAGGTGTTTTGGGCGGACGCACGGGGCGGATCATCCATTTCCAGGTGAATCTGCTGGGGCGCGTTGGACACAAGACATCATGGAAGAAACTGAATGAAAACACGCACATGGCATGTGTATACTCAAGACATGGGAGACCTCTTTTGGTCGCCAATCATAAGGTGTAGATGGCTCTATTGTCCTTCCAATCCAGCCAATGTTTGGCCTTTGGCAGGTGTTTCTTTTCAATGCACCCCCAAGTGAACCTGTATTTCCCTGGTCATCTTTGGGATCCGGCAAGGTTCCAAGGTCTCTGGTCGTTCCGCACACCGACTCGACGTTTTTTGGACGCACCGCACCAGTCACACGGTGGGTGAAGACGAAGCAGGTGGATCTTCTCGATCAATCGGAGGTTCTGTGTGGTCGGTAAGCCCCTTGGAAGACTGTGTTCCTCTACTGGGGGGTGTCCACTTCCATGATTACTTCAAGGAGAGTAAATGGCACGAACTGGAGAGAGTGTGTTTGTTCTCCTCGAAAGAGTGATGTTCACTTATATAGTGGTCGAGTGGGGAGCTGAGAAATCTGGCGGCTAAAGCAGTCATCAAATATTTGGGGAGAGTAGTGAAAGAATCAGAAGTCGCATGCCTTCGGTACGAAGTTGATGAACTTGTTGAATTTGATGAGCCACTTACCACTTGCCTGGCGAAAAAAACACAAGGCAGATGGTTGCAAGCCCGATATGAGAGACTATAGACTACAGTGATATAGATGATCATAGATGATACATACATGCATATACAGAACTGATTATACATATTATATTCCAGGAGTCACAAGACGGGGTGGTGTGGCTCGTCCCATCCAGTGAGTGGATGTGACGACGGGGCACCCAACTCCTACCTCCATGATTAAGCGCCTCGAGCTCTGTGACTGCTGGTTAGAGTAAGTTGTAGGAGACCCCAAGCGATGCAACACTCACCCCGGCCCAAAAGCGATCAACTTTGAATCAAACCCCCCCCCGGCGCCGAACCCCCGCAGCCGGTTCGACGGGCCGACCGGTTCGCGGTTCGCGTCGCAGGTGAACCGCTGCAATCCATCTATCGCCTGCTTCGACCCCTAGGCACTTCCCCCAAACTGGCCGGCGGCGGTGCGGCGGAAAGAGCAGGGGGAGGGACGGGGATGGATCCTCAACTTCGGACAAAAGGATGCTGGAAGTGTTAGTTGAGAGATGTTGAGGGCAAGAAGATTCTGCAGTAGTTATAGAGTTTCGCTCCTCTTTTTGTGTGTGAGAGTGTGAGAGGATGGATTTATTCAGCTCCTCTTTGTCTAAGAGCTGAACGGTTCATTTTTTGGTTGTTGTACTGGGAATCATCCGTACGGACACCAAGCTTGAGTCTGAACTGGTTCATGTTCCCATCCACTGCACCATGCCGGCTCAAGCTGGACCTCATGCAGTGGTCCGCTCCGTGGCGCTTGGTGGGTGGCTCAAGCCACTGGTGTTCCGCACCGCGGACTTGGAAGCCTCATGGCCATGCTACCTATCCTGCATCTATTTGCACTTGGCAAGCAAGAGAGGTACCTTGGATAAGAGATGATTGTTTATGTTTTGCAAAGCACGATATGCAAGTTGATGGGATGATGAGATGCAACACGATCCTTGGGGCACTGATCGCAATGATGGACAGTATGTAAGTTGAACACCACCCCGCTAAACATGTCAAATGTTTGTTATCTTGGGTGTTCACTTGGACGTGTTTGGCATGGCCATTCCTTTTGGGCCAAACTTGAGGTCTTCATTTGTCGCGTGGCTTGTGCAGCCAGAGGCCGTCGCAGGAGAGGGTCCTCACAGCAAGAGTTTGCAAGGTGGCGTCAAAAGAAGAAGCTTCGAGCAGATTTGGAAGATGTAGCTGATTTAGCAAAATTTTATAGCTATTTCAGATTTTTTTCGTGAATTTTTGGCTGTGCAAGCTATCCATGATGACACCAATGCAAGCTTGGAGTCAGAGTTGGAACCAAGTTCTGATTCTGAAGACTCCGGTGGTGTTTACATCAATGTAGAGGATGAAGAGGATGTAGATGTGCTGGATTTTGCACACGACGTGGTGCGGACATTTGTGGACGGGGAGCACTACCCCGTCGTACGAAAATTGAGATTTGTGGTGCAGAAGGAAGATGAGGAACTTCTCATACCGTATGAAGGGCGAGTCAGCAGACCTTTGGGACCGCGCAATTGGGCGCCCTCTGTAAGCCCAGATGAGGCAGAGCGTCTGTTTTACAAACTGGCCTTGGGCGGTCATTGCTCGGAAGTGTCCTACTTGTATTTGGAGCTCTTCAATGCAGTCAAACATGGACACATGCAACAGCCAGTATTTAGAGGACAGAAAGTTCGCACAATGAAACTGTGTGTTGGCTTTGTCACTCACAAATATCGAAAACTCACCTTGGAGGAGGATTTTGGGATGAACTATTGGCAGCATTCTCGAGAAGTGCATTGCGGCGCACGAAACCATGTCTGGCTGGAGTTCTCCTGCTGGGGTGCGAACAGGGCAGACTTTGTGCTGGACCTCACAGGAATTCAGTTTGATATGATGGGGTCAAAGGACATGAGGTACATACATGTGTGTGTGAAACCTCAGACTCCACATACAAGATCTATCAAAAATGCTATGAAATTGACTCGGACCAAGTGCCCATTCATTTCCTACACTGGGCAGATCCGCGAAGAATGAGTGCAGACAGTATAGTCCGCATCGCTGTTGATTATATCGGCAGCACCGACTGGCTTTTTGCGTATGAAGAAGGTATCATCCTGGCATATCATTACTTCAAAGAGACAGCTGATTTGTCCGAAATTGAAGAAGCTTGTGGCTTGAGCATGGAGCAGGTGAGATCAATGGAAACTTTGGCAGTCAGAAAGATGAAATCAAGGCTTGGTGTAAGAAATCCCTACAACTCGCAGCCCGGTGGCCGCACCTTGATGTAGTGACTGGCGTGAACTCGGCACGCCAGCACAAGCGCTCTGGTTGCCGAGGGTCCGTGTTCCGCTTCTGAAAAAAACAGTCATATTGCGCCATGCGCTCCGAAAGAAAACAACATTTTCGTCGTCTTCGTAAAGAATTTCAAGAACAAATCATCCACCCACCTCAAAAGGTACGACGGTTGAGCCCAAACGGGAACCGTTGATCCGTTGATCCGTCCGCCTGAACCGTTTTTTGACCAGCTACAAGAATGGGAACGACCTGCAGTGGTGTTTGAAGTGAAACATCCTTATTAAGACAATGGTTCAATGGGTTTCAGACCATTAAAACAATATATAATGGTGGTTTGGTTTCATAGGGTTTATTTGTCTATACTGAATTTACCGGACATCGTCAGGCCAAGGCGCCTTCGGGCTGGTGTACGACGCGCGGGATCTACGCTCGGGGCAAGCGGTGGTTTGCAAGGCGGCGGGGCGCGTCTGGGGGGGAAACGTGTGGTGAGTGGGGAAGGCGATGTTCTACCCACTAAACTAGCGCTAGAACCGAGCAAAAGAACCCGGTGCGAGGATGTGCGAGGGTGATTCTGGAAGTTGAAGGGAAGAGCCTTTTTCATCCCTTTTTCCATTTGTTTCCGGAAGCATCACGAAGGACCTGTAAAAAGTAGAACATGCTCCAAGAGAGAAGCATTTGGCGAGCCAAGTTGTACTCGTCCGGGTCACGGGCGTTCGTCACTGCGGGGGGAGAGACGCTCAGGGCAGTCCCGCCAGGTCATTACCAAAGCAACTGCCCCGGACCACAACGCCATCCGAAACGCGTCTTGGTCTGCGAAGTCGGAGCTGAAGTCTTCAGGGCTGGCATTGACTGCCGATGAAACAACAAGGCATCGAAGAAGCTTGAAACATGATGAGACCACGATCTGCATGTGAGGGTCCACGTATGAAGAATCAACCTTGAGTGACAAGGAGTCAAGAAAAGGATAAGGGCCAACATGGGGATCCTCAATTACAACAATGACACCCAGCCAGACCCACGTCCCTACGACTGTCAACGTCAGTCCCACCGACGTGCTGAGGAGATTGCGGTGCTGAAGGCCTTAGACCATCCGCACATCCTCCGCCACTCGGTGGCGGACGGGACGGGACCCAGGGACGGGACGCCGTTGCGCAAGGTCCAGACGTTCGAACCCGGAGAACGCAGCATCGAAGAAGAGGAGGGAAGGTATGGGTCTTTGCTGATCTGAGGTATTTTTGATCACTTCGAACATGGAGGCGCGTGGCGCGCGGATAGAGAGATTGAGAGAGAGAGAGAGAGAGCTTAGAGAGCTTATTGCATTAAGAGGCGGTGTGATGCCAAAAGGTCGCAGATGCATTTGTTTCTGTATAGACTAGATCAGATCCAAATCGTTGCCAGCGCTGAGGAAACCTGAGCCAATAATCTGAGACTTAATCCTACGCCATGTGCTAAACATCATGTTTTGATTGCGGAGCACGCATACCACAGCACACACCACGATTTAGCCTCATTGGGGGTAATTACTACAAGTTCTATGGAGAGCAAAGCTGCCTTGCGAGATGTGGGTATCCCAATGGATTCCCCAAACTCTTTGCTTCTTTGCTGTACCCTAGGGATTCCACATCATATACCGTCTCAGGTTCGGTACGAGACCCTCCTGTGGATCCCAAAGGCCCACCCGATCTCACTCCTCCCGCTTTTTCGTGCAGGCCCTCACGATCCGGCCTTCTACGTCATTTGTCTTCTGGCCGAAGATGATGTTCGGGTTTGATGGGTGAACTAGGGTGAAATATGGGCTCTAGGGGCTCTCAGGTGAAGCAGAGGACAATATAAGCCATGTGAATCAACCAGGGTAGCTCAAAAACAGAGTATGGCTAAACACCCTCAGCGAGTAAATAGAGCAGATGGTCTTGATTGCAGACATCATGACATGAGAAAAAAAACAGTCCTCGTGTGTCCTCGCGAGCCTATTTGTAGTGACGGTCTTCAATATGTCTCTTAGGAACGGATGTTGATCGACCTGATCCAACTGATGGAACCTTCAGTGAATCAACAAAAAAGCAAACCAAACAGGTATAAACAGACCAGATCCAACAGACCGGAAGCATATTTGGTCGCTTCCGCATGGTCCAATGCCATTCATTCCATGCCATTCTCGGAACCCGGTCGCGGCCGTCCTTTGGCGGTCGCTCCAAGGTGAATCCTGCGCCGGAGGCGATCTTCAACAGGAGATCAGCCAAAGCCGTCCCTCGACACGTGAAAGGACGTGAAAGGACGGGTGACACGTCGTTTCGGGAGGAGTCGGTGACGCGTCTTTCGGACTGGTGCTCCGGTGGTAAGTAAGTCGGTGCTCGGTGTGATGGAGGCTACTGCACCGACCTCCACACCTCCTAAGCAAAGTGCCAAAAAGAATACAAGCCAGGAGTCACAAGATGGGGTGGTGTGAAACGTCCCATCCAGGGACCGTGGATGTGACGACGGGGCACCCAACTCCTACCTCCATGATTAAGCGCCCCGAGCTCTGTGACTGCTGGTTAGAGTAAGTTGTAGGAGACCCCAAGCGATGCAACACTCACCCCGGCCCAAAAGCGATCAACTTTGAATCAAACCTCACCACGTGCGAACTGTGTCGTGTGTGACCTTGAGTGACTGATGATGTGACTGATGACGTGAGAACCAAAGCATGACAACCCCTCATTCGGAAGGCGGGTCGACTGAAAGCGGTCGACGACCGGTCGATGACGAAGAACCCATGGCCATGACGAATGGTCCAATGACAAAGTTCCAGAGTTGACATTGCAACTTTAGCTGTACCAAAACTGGGTTGGATTTGAGGGACGAGCCGACATGAGCACATGAGCAGGATGTAATGCGCACCTCTGAATCAACAAAAACACCCCTGATCAAGTGCGGGCCCTAAATAACTTAATGTGAAATCCAGAAAAATCCCAGAAACATTTTGATTTGAAAAGGAAATGAAAGGAATAAAAACCATGAAAGTACATTACAGGAAAGGAAAGGCAATGAAACATGAAAGGAAAATACAAGGAAAGGAAAGGAAATGAAAGCAATCAATGTAAGCAGTGCTGAAGGAATTGTAAAGGGGCTGAACCCAAATAACCATAGCCCTCAATAAAGCTAAAGCCTTTCAACCAAAAGGAAACCCAACGGAATTGTAAAGGAAACCACCAAAAGAATCAGGTTTTGGAATCAGCTGAAAGCTCAGAATCAGTTTGGATGAATCAAGGTCTGGAAGCAGCTGAAAATAATGGTCAAAAAAAAAGTATTTGGGGGCCATTTAAAATGTGTTGTTGAAAACATGTAGTATTATTCACGGGCCATTTATAAATCAGAAGTCGACATTAGTGTTCCTCCTTTCCTTTTCGGAGGGATGAGCAGCTCCAGTGATGCTGACCAGCGTTTGGAGCTCACAGGATTTGACCAATCATTTTAGCATATTTTAGCTTGAGACACAGTGTAAACGGAATACAAAACGGGACCCGGGACCAGGTCGTTTGAGGTTGCAGGGACCAGCCAAAACAAGCTTCAAAGGTTGTTCGACAATGATGACAGAATTCACCCGGTGACAGAATTCATGTTCTTGGCTCTTGATTCAATTAATTTCTTGATGGTTTGTTTTGCATCTTCCTCCCACCAGAAGTCTACCAGTTCTGGAAGGATTGAAACGCAGACTTCTGGCAGAACCACTCGTTTCTTTTTGGGGCGTTGGCAGACAGGCCCGTCTTCCCGTTCCCGTGGTGAACCGATGTTTGCTCCAAGGTGCTGGCTTGCCAGTGTCGCAGGCGCTCTTCACCGAACCGAGGGACCGCGTCCGGTTACTTTTCAGAGCGCTCGTTGATGCGCCACTTCTTGGGGCGCCTGGGAAAAGTGTAGAAAAAAAGAGACACAGAGGCCAGTTACGGGCAGGCTGGGCAGTTTCTGGCTGAACAGTTGCTTCACCATTTTCCGGTCTTTCAATAGCTCACTAAGCGACGTTTCTTTGCTAGCTCCTAAGCCGGATGGCCAACCGGCCTCGTCTCAGCCCCGTTTTTGCAGGTGGCGCGGTACATTCGCCAAGTGCTCCTCGCAGTGAACTACTGCCGCGATCTTGGAATCTGCTGGCCCTGGCCCACCCTGAAGTGCCAATTCAACGTGCCCCGCGTATAGTGGTTGTTTATTTATTGTTTTATGTTGCGGAACCCTGCTATACAGGTTAGTCAAAGCTTTAATTTAGGATCAGGAGATTGATTGTGTCATCATTTGTCATGTGTAAGGCATGAGCGTTTTCAGAACAGCACCTTCATCATGCTTAACAGCAAATTAAACTTGTGCAAATGTGGATATTGACTCGCTTGGATTGCAACACCATGTTGTTTGGAGTGTGTTTGCATTTTCCGCAGAATCACCCCAGGCCATTCGCTGGTGATTCCAGCACCTTGATGGCATTCGAGGGGCCGTGCGAGCTTGCTCGAACGGTGTTTGTTGTGAGGGCGACCTTGGAGTTTGTACTTGTATGTTCTGTGTATCTCGTGATGTTTTAACATGTATATAGCAATAGTGTATGCGCCATGTGGACGACGGGGGCTAGCACCCGCACCTGTGGCCGAAGAAACCGCGGAATCCCAGGAACATGCTTTGAACAGCTGTGTCGAGACCAGTGCTTCAGGCATGAGTGACCAGAAAAGTAAGTCAAGACGGTATTAATATCGCTGTTAGGCTCCTAATGGGAACATCTCTTTTAAATACCGTGGATTTTGCATGCCCAGGTTCAAAAACATTGAGTAGTTACTTTGTTGTTGGGCTTCTAATGCAAAATACCCTCATTCGACCCTGATTTTTGGCTTGCAGAGGTTGACAGACATTTGCATCTACAGCGGTTTTTTTGGGCTCCCACTCCAACAAAAACTCGTTAATACTAAATGTGTTTGGGCTTCGGTCCTAACACATCGGTACTGAAGCTGTGATGGTCCAACAGTACGTCAAGCTGGCTGCCTTACCCGACCCCCACGGTCCGTTCTCCCGGCGGAGCAGAGTGGAGCCGTGGGCGTTCGGGCAACGCCGATCTCGGTCCAGTCAGCAGTCTCAGGTGATTCACCGCGACATCAAGCCGGCCAACGTGATGAAGCAGAGGGGCCCAGCATGGCCCAGGTCCAGGGGGGTCTAGGGGCAAGCTTTGGAGAACACAGCTCCACTTTTTTGAAGATTGGATGGCTATTTGATGTTGTTCAGCTTTAAGATGTTTGTTGTTTTCTTTTTGTGACACCTTGACACCTGTTCCGCGCTTGTAGTTGTTCGCGAAGGCATGACTGCTGGTTCAAAATGTTCTCCTCCAGCTGATCCAGATGATTGATTATCAGTAATATTTTTATACATTTATATACCTAGAGCCTGAGTGACGTCCATGTTGAACAATCAACCATCAAACATATGGTCCAACTTCCTATCAAAACAGAGGTCATGTCTGGGCTCCAGGTAGATGAACATTCGGTGGGCAAAGGTGGCTTCTTGGGGGCCGGGAGTGCTTCGACATGCACCAGACCACCAATGCCCCCGCCCCCGGCATGTCAACCACTTCTGTGAGGGGCACGGGCTCACCCGGTGCACAGGTTGACGACATGACCGAAGGTACGCGATGCCACAAACTGCAGTGACATGTTTGAGTCCCAGAGGGCACCTCTCGGTGAACTTCTAGTCCCTAGGGATCCAGTCGTACCTTCTCAGCAGGTGATGTGTTCGACACTGTTGTGTAGGTTTGGAGGGTCCAGGTACCTTCTGAAAAGGTACTTGGATCCCTAGTGTAGTGGAGTATAGAGGGCACATCGGCGTGTCGGAAGACAATACGTCCATGTCTGACACAGGACCGTCCTGTGGTTCCGCACTGGTTGGTTACCAAACACTACCCGAAGAGGACCGCATCTTGACAGAACTCGGACCATCTCGGACCCCTTCAGATTCGAAGCAAAACAGTTTCAGGCCTCTACAAATCGTTCACCCAGGACTTTTGTGGGGTTCCATGTGGGTCCCAAACAGGACTAACTGCCGTCTTGTTCTTTTCAGCTGAGGATCAAACCCGGCCCTTCGTCGGATGTGAAGCTCATCGACTTCGGCCTCGCCACCTTCAGCAAGGCTTCGCCTGCGGTGGGGCCAGAGAGATACATCCATTGTGTGAATAGACATATTAGGAATGAAGGCAAATCTATGTAACTTATATTATACAATATTATATACATACCTGGACCATCAAGGGGTGTCCAATGGAGGTCCCTTACTAGTGTAGGGGCTTCCAGCCAGGTGACCCCTTTGAAGGTGCTGGTACATGGGCGGTTCGGTTTATTCCGATCATGTTACCCAGCACCTTTGGACCAATTCCAAGGTTTGAGAAAACGCATTGCGCAACTCCGATCTCCCAGGTCATCCCCCTCAGTTCTCACCCGCACGTTTCACCGCACCCTTCTCACCGGCTTTTGTCCGGGTTCGAAGCCATTTAGCTCTCCGCGGTCCGCGACTGCTGCCCGCTGTCTTCTTCTCTACTCGCGACTCGGTCGTCAGGAGAGCCAGGGTGTGGCGCGCGTGGGCGGCACGCCGGAGTTCATGGCGCCCGAGGTTTGGAGCGGCGTCTACGGCGCCTGGGGATGCAGTGCTCGGTTGGGTCGGCAGGACCGGCTCGATTGGGCGTGGTGGCAGGAAGTTTTGGGGAGATGCGAACATGTTGTAAATGCGCTCCTACACCCGGCACACAAACGGAATGCCTGTTCTGATGGAGCAGTGGCTAAAATGTTGAAGGGGGACTGTCTTGGTTGGGGAACCCCTACTGCAAGTGCTGCCAGAACTACGCTAGCAGAAGTATTGTACAAGAACCGTCCATCAACCTTGATTTGGCCCTTTTGCAAGCTCAACATTTGCACTCGCTGATGGTTCCGGCCCTGCTGGCATATGTTTCATCACACCGGACTCACACCATATGACCCTTCGTGTTTCCGTTCCACAAGGATCCACAAGGTTTTCAAGGTGTTTCCGAGCCCAGACACTCCATGGGACTGCCATATAGGGGTGGTTTGAGGGGTCAATGTAGGCATATATGGCAGTCCCATGGAGTGTCTGGGAAGGTGTTTCAGCATTTTACATTAAGACTCCGGATTCCCACCTGCGCATCTCCGGGTTCGCTGGCGGCAGGGAGAATGCGCGGATGGTGGGGTTCCGTGCGCGTTCGTGCACGGCGGAGAGACCGGACTTGGATGAAACAGAAGCATGAAAAAGCTGAGAAGGCCAACTGTATAGGAGGTCTTCTAGTCGACAGGACAGGTAAACCCCCTATATGTCACATCTAGAAACAGGTACACCCCCTTTATGTGCAAAACAGTGATTTGCGGATGTGCAGTGACTGCTGCACACGGAAACTCCCGGCCACCGGGCTTCGTCGAATGTCACGAGCACCGGTCGCCTCGGACCCTCGCTGTCTGCTCCCCTCCCCCTCAAGGGTCCAGCGGGCGCGACATCGCGATCCAAGGCCGTCAGTGCGACTGCTGGTCCATTGGAATGATGCTCTACTACCTGCTGGCCGGACTCTGTTGGGAAAGCATGTCATTGTTTTTATGTTTTTTGTTGTGTTTGTGTTTTTTTTTCCATTTGGGCGGAGGACATGTGCTAGTGGGCCTCCGATTCATTTTGTATCAAACATTGCTATATATGTCGGTCTAGGTCAATGTCTGCAGGGCAGGGGTCATCCATCGCCCTCATGGCTGTCAGTCGGACGGTCCGTTGGAGACATCTTTAACGAACGAGCCATGACCCCTCATGTGATGCCATTTTGGTGGTGCTCATTTGATCCATGCGTTTTGCCACTTGAAACGTAAATGTGTCATTGGGATCCGTGCAAGGGGACATGGAGACTCGCGGTTAGTCTAGTTATTTTTTATATCATAATTCTATAAACAGTAACGTTGACTGTTGATTAGTAATTAGTAAAATGTTTTTGCTTCAGTTGAGGGGACCGCTGCCCCATCATTTTGGGACAAGGGCAGTGTTGCTGGTTGCACTTGCATGCTTCATTGCTGCAGCCATATATTGCACATGTTTGGGCAGCTGCGTGGTCGTTGCTCGATGCGCACCATCCTCGACTCCCTCACCAGCATGGCTGTCATGTTTTTCCCCACCTGCCAGGTGAGGGTCTCTAGATGAACGAAAGAGGTGCGACTCCTTCTGAGCTCCTCTTCAGACTCCTCCTTGCACGCTCACTCCTACCCCTCTAGCTCTTGGACCCGGACGGTACTTGGGCACACGGATCGGACCTACCAAACACGGCAGAGGAAAAGGAGCTCCAGTCCTTGCCCGCACAGCGCTCGAGCGGCGCTCCAGCGAGCTGGGCACAAACGGATCAATGCATTCGAAAATGACGGTGGTGCTCATCCAAATGTGTCTATCCTTTTCTCCTAGAAGCGGCGTGGTTAAGCAAACTAACCGTACAAACCTTAAGGCATCTTAAGGCACTTGCATACCATATCCATATCCAATGCCAGTGGTTTAAGATGGTTTAAGGCATAGCGGCATCACCTATTATGGCCAACACCCTCCCCAAGCATGGGCGCACTGCCTCCATCCCTAAGCGTGCCGTAGGGTGGTTTTTGGGGCGTGCAAAACACGGCAGAACAATGGCAGAACATGGCCCATACTCACAGTGACTCGTGACTCGCCGTGCGCTCGCGCGGTGGTGTACAAAAGAGCGCGTACAGCGCAGACCGTGTGGCTGGTGCCCGGCAGGTGGCGCAGTTTCCGTTCCGGCCATGCTCGGAGGTGGGCATGTATCCAAGGACCGCGAAAATCGGAGGTTGAGGAAAAGGGGGGCAAAGCACTGCAGGTGAAGAGAGGGATTTCTTGGTCAAATCGGATGAGATTAGCTGGAGTATGCATGAGTCTGAGTATGCTGGATGACGCAGCGGAACAAATTCTGACATGGTTTCGGTGTTGAATTGTTTTTTTGCTTAAAACACAATGGTTTCAAAATTTGTTTGGTGAAACTCTCAGTACATATACCATGTACTTTTGTCATCCTTGATCTATTTAGCAATCTACAAGGAGGGGGGTTCAGAAGATTTCACCAGGGAAAGCCATGTTTGCGTTCTCGATGGTTTGTAGACATTCTTGCAAAGTGCATAAAAGAGTCAAACCCTGCGGGCCAGAGTGCTTCGCATCAAACCTTTATTTTCTATACGTGGTTTTCTCTCAACTGTACGATGAATGTCTGACCGATTGCACTTGGCCAGTTTAAAGAGAAGGTTGAAACCTCAAGTCAAACTTTGGAGGATGTAAGTCAACTGTTTGCGTCCGACATGGACGAAGCACACAGGCATCACTCAATGACGCCGTACGCAGGCAACTCTCGGAAACGGTCGGAAACGGCATCACGCTCGTGCGCGTTAAAACAGTAGCTGAATCCCCGTGAATCCAATATGATGTCCCGTTCGCCTTCAAGAACCTTTAAAAGAATGGTTGACGAACGGTGTAGTGTAAAGGTTCCTTGGTAGAAACCATGGTTCGATCTGGTAGAGACCATGAAAGCAATGGTTGTTCGAATCCTATAACCCAGACACGACACATGGGACTGCCATAGGACTGCCGAGAAAAAGCCAGGGTGGTGGTTTGGGGGGTCAATGGATGCATCTATGGCAGTCCCATGTGTCGTGTCTGGGTAATACAAAAATCAACCCTACACCTCCAAGTACCTCCTCAGAAGGTATTTGGACCCTCCAAACCCATCCCAAACCCCTTCTCAGGTTCGGTACTTGGAGGCCTAGGGCCATATATATTTGCTATACGATCCTTGGAGGGACTCCGTCATATCCATGTCACATCCTGGGCTGAGAAAAGACACATCGCCAGCTTCACATCGCCAGTTTCTTTTTGGCCCGGATCACGAGGTGTTTGTGTGGAAATCGCCGGGGAACAGGTGGGTGGGAGGGTTTGCACACACACCCAGCCTTCCATTTCACCATCCCGTTTGGCCGTCGTACCGAAACGTATCGTTTCGGTGTGGACGGGTGGGTGCCAGGCTCGAGGAGCGAACCTGAGGTTCGGTACGACGAAGTCGGTGTAGGGCATTCAAAGAGTTTGGTTTTTGACCTGGTGACCTGGTAGTCTAGAAATCCATCCTGCCTGGTTCACAGCCTCTACTATAGGGATCTCCACCCAGGACACCCAAAACAAATGGTCCAGGTACTGTATAAATCAATCGTGACCTATAGTGATTGAAGGTACCTGGTACTGATTAAATCAAGGTACTGAGTCGTCACGGGTACCTATACGATAGTATTAATGATTGACTGTATAAATCAATCGGTACATGGTACTATGGGTCAGAAACCCGTGACGACTTTCGATCGCTGAAGGTTTGAAGATCGGCGCAAAAACAGCGCTCAACCAAAATGTCTTGGGACCGCCCAATTGGGCTAAATCGATAGACATTTTGGTGGCGTGGTCGATGAAGGTGGGTCATTGGGTCATTTTCCCCATGGATCCACATACCGAACCTGAGGTACGGTGAGCAGGGAGACTATTTATGGCGCCAGGAGGGTCCAATTACCTTCTGAGGTTCGGTATATGTGGATCCATAGGGTTTGGTGCAACCCGGAGCTCGCGTCGTCCACGACGCGTGCTGTCACGAAGTGAGTCACCTGCGGCATACGACGCCCGGGGGCAGCGAAGCCAGCGAGGATGTGGGAGAACTTCATGCTGAGCTTCCCCAGCCGGCAAGGCGCGGCGGATGCCCCGTCGGAATGCGGAAGGGGAAGGGGGTTTTCATGGGTTTTCTTTATGCGGAAAGTGGTGGTCTGGTGGTGAAAAGACACTGCAAGAAAATAGACACGCATCCTTTTGATATGTTCCTTTATAGATGCATCCTTTCTATATAATTGGTATATCTCCTTTGGTGGTCTACTTGTCCGTATACTTGTCCGTGAGTATTCTTTCCCAACAGTGATATCTGATTCGGATGGCCATCATGTCTGGTTGGTCAGCTTTTGGGGCCAGGCCCCTGCCAACGGAGAAGGCAAGAGAAGGTCATTTGTTTGAAAAACATCACCCAGACTGTCATATAACATTGGGGTGGTTGACCCGGGGTCAATGTAAATATGCCAGTTCCATGGAGTGTGTGGGTCATCGTTTCAATCATTTCAAACAATTGTCGTGGGTTTCAGTTTTGAAGAAGAGTGAATGGGGTCAACATATCCGTTGACTTGTGCAAACAGAGGTTTTGCGTTCACAAGGGACTCCTGTGCAACCGATGAACCAGTTCCCAAGCTCGCAGAGAAAATACTTTCCAGACGTCTGGTTAGACTCAGATCTTTCATGTCTTAAGCGGATGGCCCTCATGTCCTCAAAGACCATCCTCCCGTTAGAAGAAACAAAAACAACGAATCCAGGTTGGAGGCCATCGCTACTAGGTTGGAGGTCATCGCGATATAAGGTTGGAGGCCATTACTACGTACTATAGTTACAAGAAGCTACTTGGACTCTGTCTCTTTTCTCCTCAGCTTTCGAGGTCCTACCTGTAGTTGTTTCTGGCAAACCCAAGCTGGCCTCCGCCATACTGTAGCAGAAGCTATAACTCCAGAGCATCCTTCAGCTGCTCCAATCAAGAACGAACAACTACAGTAGGTCCTTTTTTACAACGGTATATCGTGTGCTTTGCCTTGTATTTCTGCCTCTGTTTGCAACTTTTCGATGTTGATGGAGTTCAGCGTATGCAACAGCAAGCAGGACAAATTATCAGGTACTGAAGATAAATTTCATAGGTTCATGCACAGTAAAGTAAACACATACACACACATACACACACAGTTCAGTAGTTTCATTATTGGATTGTTCCATTCCCCGGAAGTCCAGTCATGACTCATTTTACCCCTACAATCCCGTAACATCAACTTTTGCTTGGTGATTAATTCTAATCCCAGGGCGGGGTAAAAAGAAGGAGTCAAACCAAAAACGGAAAGGCATCTTGGCATAGGCAGGCATCTGTCGGGGTCGTCTGGCATCACATTTACACGTCGCTTCCACGGTCGCCGCCGTGTCGCCGCCAGCATTGCCAGGCTGGGGCTCCCGGAGTCTGCGCACCGCCCGAGACCTCATTCGCCGCTAGCTAAACGCACGCGCGCGTCGTGGCGGGTGGCGGGTGGTGGGGCGTTGAGGAGCCCGGACATGTGCAGTTCCCGACCAGCAGGCCTTTGTTTCAGACTGGAGTCTGTTCGTTCATGCAAACTCGATGCCAGCATCGCAGTTGCGGTGACCTGTCGAGTCGTCAGGACCTGGTATGCGCCCCTAGTTTTTTGGGAGATGAAGGTTCTATATATAGGAGCCTCTTTTCGGGGGTGCTTGGTGGTCCAAGTGCGGTCCAACATAGAGGCCACATACCTTCGCGTCTTCGGATGTGTCGCGTGGTTGGGCGGACCTTCTGGCAGGAAGCACCTGGAACACCACGGTAGGCAGTAGGCAGTAGGCTGTAGGCCTTTCCAACCCCAATCCCAAACAGTTTCACACCATGTAACTGTCCACTTCTGCCACGAATCCTATGTTTCCAGGATCTCTAGCAAGCTGGCGCCAGCTGGTAGGCAGCCGGGCCATAAGCATTTGTACATGCTTGTTGATGGCTAGATTGAACCCTGGACACAGCAGGCCAAATGAGTCGTTTCCTGGACATTTGCGGGGTTTTGATGGATGTTGGAGAGGCTTCGCATGGCTTCGGCTCACAATTGTGGTGCTTGCGAATGCGAGTCCTCACTTGTGGTGAAAGCAACTAAAGTGTTTGAAATATGTTGAAACGGTGTTCACCATCAAGAGGCCATTGGGTTGGCAAATGTTGGCAACTTTGTTTTCTATTTGTTTTCCAAGCGCTGAGACATGCCTCCACTGACCACGTGCTTCAAGCACTCAGGAAAGTTGCTCATGATGCGGCCGAAGCAGCGGCTCAGTGCTGGAAGTGCTTTGAAGTCTGAGTTCATCAAGAAATATGGTGCCTAGGCCAAGAAGATAAGCTAGACACCATTGACACCATGGTCGGCCATATATATATATAGATATATTATAGTCGAACAGAAGGCTAGGGTCGTAGACAAAAGCATTTTGTACATCTCACAATCTATGGCTTGCTGGAAGAAGAACTCCAACAAATTCTTTAGAAACGCCTTCGAGGTCAAAGATTGCCAACGAGTATGCATGAACGTGCTATAGCCACCTTATTGGACGGTCCAATTGTCAATGATCAACAGGAGGATATATATATATATATGCCTATAATAGCCTATAGTCAGTCAACATAATCTATTTGGCAACGACCCTCAATCAAGAAGTCAGCCTACTGGAGGTGTCCGGCCATAGCCATTCAGATGATCCTGGATCCAAATTTGCGCTTTCCCATCTCCCTGCTGTAAGGGTTGGGTAGCCGGCCTCGCACCTCTCTCTCCTCTCTCCTTTTGTTTTCCGACTTGGAGCGCCCATCCATCAGTCCGACATGGCGGTAGCCGCCATCCATCCACCCGGACACGATACGAGAATCAACTGCCATAGGACTGCCAATCAATTGAGGGGTGAATGGGGTTGCATGTAATGATGGCAGTCCCATGCAGTGTTTGGGTTATCCATCCCCTGAGTCCTTCAAGGGATGTATCTCCAGCTGCTCGGCCGTGAGCCTCCACCTGACCAGCTCGTTTCCACCTGACCATGCCATGCCGAAAACGCCAGGCCTCAAACGCCGTGTTTCCACCGGGGGCGACCGATCTGCCCGCGGACTGCACCAGGCGGGTCGTCCGAGCAGCGTCCCAGGCCGGTCCTCTCACTTCGCGGGCTATGCGAGCGCTGCCATGGGCGAAATGCTCAGGACGGAGCTGGGGGGGGGGCCAGGTCGGTCCTGGCGCTGGTTGGCTGGTTCGCTCGATCGGACCGCGGAACGCACGGTGACCTCTTCGGTCGTCCTTGACGCGTGAGGACCGAAAAGCGTCTCAAAAGCCTGGTTTTCTAGACCGAAGGATCCACACGACGAATGGGACTGGCTTAAGTTAGGCTGCCATAATGACATTGACCCCCAAAACCGCCCCACTTGATCGGCATATATCGGCATATATATATATATATATGGCAGTCCCAGACGTGTCGTGTCTGGGGGATTGACTCTCTTCCGGCCTACACTCAGTGCCACCGGTCTCAGTGTCTCCACCACGACCGCGAGGCACTCCGACGGCTGTGTCCAAATTCGACCGGTGGCGAGGGTTCCCACGAACTCTTTGGGGCCTCGACACGGTGTCAGTTCCACAGCCATTTCTGAAAGGCTGGCCTCTCATGTGTTCTGCAAGAGCTGGTGACCGGAACTTCAACATGTTCTCCAGGGGCTACCAGAACTTCAACGCCACACCGAAGCTGACGCACGGCCTGCGGACCTTCAGCCAAGTCCCCCGCGTGATGCGCGCTGCTTGGACCTAACGATCGCGTGAGGCGAGCCGTGTATTGACATGAGATTCTCATCTTTCTTGCTCATATGTTTTTTTTGTTCCCTTTGTTTGTGCCGCTGTTTCCTTGTAATTATGATAGGAAGTATTGAATGCTGAAGGCATGTTTTGTTCGTTTTGATGTAGCCTCACGGTTGTTTGCTCCAAGAAAACTTGCATTTCACTGTCAATCTCCAAACTGCCGGGTTTGCTAGGGAAGTGGATGACCAAGTCATATATCTGCACCCTGTACTTGTTCATCGTGCAAGAATTCCTGTGAGTGTTTTAAATTACCAGGAATTTGCATTTCTGTTTAACCTGGGGCACAAATTGTCATCCATCCACTAGAAGGGCACCAGGAAGACTGCCGTCCTGCAGTCCTTGCCAGTTCTAATCTAGACAAACAGTATTACCTTCAGCAACTGATTTTGATATTTTGGTCCTCCCCAAAGAAATTTCCCTTGGAAAGAACTGACCTAAACAAGCATACTCAGACCAGTTCAGATACTCAGTCTATTTGGACACTGCTCTTTCAGTTCCTTCTGTCCAGACGACCTGTTCGTTCCGCCCGCCCGCTCGTCCCGAAAAGCCGGCGCCGCGTTCGGTGACGAAGAGGTGGTCCTCCTGCTGACCGCCAGCAAGATGGATGCCCAGGAGCTGGCAAAGGCGACAGAACGCGAACGAGACATCACTGGGAGAAAACGGTGGTTTTTGTTGTGTTTCTTCTTGTATTTTCTTGTTGTGTTCTGCCTTTTTTATGTATGACTTCTGCGACTGAACGTGCAAACTAACTGAATTCAAAGGAACTGAAGGGTTACGGGAACAGGAACATGTTGACAACAGAAGGGAACTGAAGTGTAGAGCCATTGGACTCAGCAAACATCCTTTTGACTCCTTTTGAACTTCTGCTTTCATAGGTTCTTCACTGGTGACTGAGCACCCCCACCCCAGGGGCCTAGGCCTTTTGTGTCCCCACCAGGTCCGGCAAGTCTTTGATAGCCACCCTGCTGCAGTTTCAGAAACAAGAAACGTGTAGTGCTTGATTCCTGAATTCTGAAGGGCAAGCAAGCCTTTGTGGAAATATGGAGGAAGGATAATATGGAGGAAGGATCCTTTCCAAAACAACATCCAGTCACGGTCCATGGTTGGTATCTTGGCGTCCCTTTTGACAAGGACTGACCTATAAAGAGAAACCGTGAGTTTCACTTGACCAAACAGCACAACATCGAATCCGGAGGAGAGAATGGGTCAAAGATTTGTCACTGTTTCTCACTCATCGACTTGAAATGGTCCTTTCTCCCCAAGTATGCCTATTACATTGATTGCGCTAGAGCTTTCTCCACCGACACCACATTTGCTTCGATCATTTTGGCCCTCAGTTTTCTGTGACAGCTCTAGAGCTGTCCTACGGATCCTTCACTTTCTTTCAACAGGGGTCCGTCCGGTGGAGGCTGGGTCGGGGCCACGTGGTCCTTTGGTTCGTGAGAGATTTCAAAGCAACCGACCGAGGCATTGATTGTGATCATGATGGTTTTATTTCGTCCAACGACATGCAGGACTTCCTCAATGGGTGCCTAGGCATCGTGTCGTCACCGTGTCGTGACCGGTCCCGTGTCGTGACCGGTCCGGTTCCGTTTGGCGGTGGAACGGTTCCATGGCGGAGCTGCCGTTGAGGCTGGAAGCTTCCCGACGTTGCAGCCCGTTTGGCGAACACCACAAACCACTGCAGGTTGGGTTTACCATTAAAGAAGAAGGATCCACTTTTTAATACGAGGATTGGACCAAATCTCAGGCCCCCTGCCTGCGTTGGTTTAGAAGAAATATGGCATGCAAGGGAAAGTGGGCTATCTCCCACGACCCTCCGCATGACGCCCGTCGGTCCGTAGACATTCAACCCGTTCATGACCCATCCATGTAAGTTGTAAGCAACTCTTCCGGTCCCATGATACAACGGTGGGTTACAACTTGGTGGGTTACAGATTTCAACAACAAAAACACATACCAGGGCCCCCGGTTTGGGGTGGTGAATGGACATCCCTTTATTAACTAACCTCTAAGGAGCTATCATTAACCACCCCAAACAGGGGGCCTGGTATGGTTTGGGATGTTCAATTCTTTTGTTTTTTGTCTTCAAGAAGACAGACATCGATGCTGACGACCGGGGAAGAATCGAGTTCTGTGATGTTCTTGTATGGGCTAGTCAAGTCATTGACCCTGATACAAGTGGTATTATCACCCTATGAGTAGCATGCATGCCAGGCAAGTTCAAAACTCTACAAATAGTCACTTGCAAGTCATGGGAGGTTCTCCATAGTCACGATCCTAAGCAATTTGGGTAGTTTGTGTCGTAGTGAGTGTGTATATTCATTGGGAGACTGGAGACCGTGACCCGCACACAATGGGTAGACTGGTCTATGTTTACTCCTTCCAGGGTGTCATTGCCTTGGTTCCACTTCGACGAACAAGCCGTAGACCGTCTACGAGAGCCTTTGGGTTCCATACTACTCGTAGGCGGAAGTTTCTGGGCATAGTAGTCGTAGTCCCCCGAAAACGGCCAAGTGGCCGGCTGTGTTCCTGCAGAAAAGCCAACATCCTTAGTTACGGATCATCGAGGATACGTGGTGCATTATCTTTGTTTCTTGTTGCTGTTCTGCCTTTAGATCCGCCCCCGTTTCAGCGTTGGACCCTACGATGACTTGACTGCCTGAGACGAGGCGTTGGGTTCCGGGCTTCCGAACCACGAAGTGGCGAACACATCACGAAGTGGAAAACAAAGGTTTGGAAAAGGGTTGAGGGTCCACTTCATTCACCGTCCCGAACCTGTTTCTTTTTTTTTTCAGTTCGGGAATGAGTTCTGCAGCATGTTCAACACCGGCGTCCTATGGGGAAGTGCAACCTGAGAGTCTTGAAAGCCATTAAACAGATTCCTGAAGTGGATGCAGCGTCCCATGCTGGTTCCACATGTTTGGCATTGACTTCTCTGACTTCCTTTTTCATGCACGGCATCCCATTGGGATTGCTGTTTGCTTCTGTGGATGCATGTTTCCTGACTCGCGCATCGGTGTACGACCGTATGCATTGGGTGTACTCCGAACCCAAAAACCAGCCATCGAAGCAACAGAGGTAGCCAGTGACCAGGTCACGTTCGGACCCGGAAAACCTGGGGTACCCGACTGGAATAGCCGAAACTCGGGTTGGTTCTGACCCAGCTCTGGAAGCATCTCTGTGTGGGTGACCTTTCGGTGCCGAGTTCGGTGCCTGTTCTTTCGCAGGTCTCAAAGGACGGTCGGTTGTGAAGGGCGGTCACCGGAAACGGACACCGGAAAGCATGTCTCCACCAGGTCTGGTGTGGATGTGGCTGGAGATTCGGTTTGGTATGGTAAATCCACCAGAGGGAGGATGTTTTTTGAAAGGATCCAGATGGCAATCCACCATGATCTGGAGCTGGAGCAGCTCCACGGAGAGATCCACATCGTTTCGTAACTCAGGTGGATGAGCCGCATGGGCCGCCTTGCCCACTCGCTGCAGCTGGGGAGCAAGTGGCGAGAACGATATGATAACAAAAGCATTGAGATCCCAACACATCCATGAATTCATCCATTTGGAGGTTTTCTGGGTGGTGGCTTCAGACAAGATTTAATTGTTTAAGCAATTTAAGCATAATATTGTTTGTGTTTTATTGGGATGATTGATCCCACTTGGGATGATTGATCCCACTGGGGATGATTGATCCCACTGGCTCATACCAGCAGTCACAAGTCGGGGTGCGATCCATGGAGGTAGTCGGGGTGCCCATTATCCACTCACTGGATGGGACTAAAAACCACCCCGTCTTGTGACTCCTGGTAGGTTTCACTTGTTGAAGCTGAGTTGAGACCACCAGGTTTGACGTTGACAACCCGCCGAGTTCGCAATGGATCCCCTTTCCCATACACTCCATGGGACTGCCATATATGCCGCCCCATTGACCCCTCAAACCACCCCAATGTAGGCATATATACCATACATGGAGCGTCTGGGTTTTGAACTTCAAGACGAGTCGCCCCGCCGAGTGTCGCTGGGACGTCGGAAGACCAGGCGAGTGATGTCGAGTGATGTGCCGTCGAGTACTCTTGGTGGGTGGGTTTTCCGTTTTGCCTTTGGGATAGAAATCCTTTGGAGACCCAATGGTCTCCAACCCTTGCCAAACATGGACACATCATAATTTGTTGATCAAGCATCCGTTATTTTTTTGTCCAGAGTTCTTAGAGTGCTTGACAATTCATGCTGAATTTATGCAAAACTGTTCGTTTCAATACTTGTCTTCATGACGCGTCCAACACGTGTCCGTTCTCTTTCTTTGATTGACCGTGCTTGAGAGTTTGGTGATGCTTGGCGCCAAGACCTGAGGAAGTCCTTCTCGCTGCCGAGCGCCAAGACCCAGGACCGTGCCGATTGATTTTGACCTGAAGACATGGAGTGCACAGCAATGCGAATCCACGGCTCAGAACGTGGTGCCGAGTTTGTGCTTAGCTCAAACGCTAGGCGACTCATTATGGAGGGTTCGGACCCGAATTCTTTGGGAGGGGTCGAACCTGTACTTGCATGAACCTCTGCCCACCCATACCACCGAGCATAGTCACTTTCAGATTACCTCTTGTGGCATGACGCGTGCACCCCCAAGGCATAATAGGTGTTGGACGGTCCGTTTTCACGCTCCGCGTCGACGGGAAGAACAACGCCGAGTCGGATGAGTGGCTACGCCGGGTGCAGGATGCAAAGACCTTGCTGAAGTTGGCAGACCTTGACGAGGTTCGGAGGTTGAAGGTTCAGTGGATGATGCGGCCAGAGGAGAGGCATGTTGTATTCGTTTTCAGCACAGCATCTATTGTTGTGTCAAATTAGCAGGGGCAACTTGCAACCCATTCAGATGTATACTAGGAAAGTCTCATTGTGAGGGGGGGAAAGTGCAGTGTGTAGAGGCAACCAATGGCCGGCCACCTATCAGTTGGAACGTGTCACGAGGAACGACAGCTGAACGAGCAGTCTCTAGAGCTTTGGAAAGCCCTTAATTTGTGCCTGACATGATGCTGACTGGGACATCCGCGGACGACGCTTAGTCTTCACTTCCTCCATGTGCGGTCGACGCTTTTTTTATCTTTTTTTGGTTGGTGGGTTTGGCACATAGGTCCAGGTGTAGGAGCGGCCGTTTTAATGTTACTTTTAGTTGTTTAAATGTTGGTAGGCTACTGGCACGTCCAACAGCTGCATGAAGTGAAGCTTTTGGCGTTTAATGTGGTTTTTCTTTATGTCTTAATGTACGTCCTCATCATTAATGGAATATGTTTTAAATATGCTTTAATGATGAATATATTGTTTTTCTTGTGTTTAAGGTGAATCTTGTGTTTTTCCTCTTAACCTTGTGTGTTTATCTTGTTTTTCTTTTATGATGAATATCTTTATTGTGAATCCCCGGAGCCGCGATACTCCTCGCGAACACATCGGATCCTTCGTCCTGTCCCTCGCGCAAACTGATAATGCATGTTTTATATGATTTCCTGCACGATTGGAGCATTCTGTCTGGGTGTCCTGGCCGAACTACCCTTGACTGCCCTACACTTACACCTCCCTACACATCCCTCCACATCCAAAGACCAATCCAGCCTCTCGACTCACCCGAACACGCCCGATGCTGAAGCATCCATGCTCCATAGTAGGATCGATTGGGTGGAGTGCCCAGGTCCACACGTCGACTTGACTGCCAGTCGTCCAGAGGATGCCGCATCGGATGCGTGGTCGAACACCTAGTCCGGGCTCGACCTCTCAACCAGTCCGGTCGATCTCTCGTGGCTCGACCTGGCCAGGATGGTTCGATTGGCTTCTCCGAGTTCCTGGTGGCTTGGATGCCGCCTGGACGTAGCGGGTTGGAAGAGGGCGGGAACAGCGGGGGGGGTGGTGTGGGGTCCGAAACATGGGCATTTGCGGCATGATGGCTACGGCACCAATGATCTTTTCACAGCTCAGCTAGGCCAGATGGTTGATGCAGGAACAGTCTGGCTCTTTCTTGACTTGTTCTTTTCCGGGCAATCCCACACAACACACCAGGCCAATTATATGTAGTCCGATCATTTGCAAAGCAACTGGCTCCTGTGAGAGAAGGAAAGCTGAATCAGTGAAATTCACTGATGCATTGAGCCTGATCAGATGATTCCAAAGTGCCTGCCGTGCCTGCCGCCAGCGAGGAGTTGATGTTTAGAGGTGTTCTCAGTCCTATAAGAGTCCGTTTCGTCCTTCTTGCGGGGTGGAGGAAGGGTGGAAGAAAAGAGAACACATGAGAACACACAATCTTACTTTATCCAAAAACAATGCATACCGTTCACGTGGTGACCCTTGCAACAGTTGATCGTTCCGGCGCATGGGTTCCACCCGTCTCAGATCAAGTCGTTGTTTCATGGGTTCCACTCTGGGTTCCACTCATCCTGATGTTCACGGACCATTTCTGAGATCTGGTGGACACATCGGTGAACATCGAGTGTTCACCCTTGGAGTGGACCCAGAGAGGCTCCGCACCAGTTGGCCGATGCCAGTGAGGAGGGTGCGACGGTTTTCGTTTTGACGTCCGACCTCACGGGGCCCAGTCGATTTTGGGAGGACCTCCATTGGACCCGACATGGACTGGTGGACCTGGGAAGGTGTGCGATTCCGAAACGACCATCTTCCATGTCTCAAGTCACAGTCCTTCGCAAACCTTCCCACCAGTCCTGTCAGCCCCACGGAATTTCCCACCATGTCCTAGAATCTCCCCTGCATGTCTCTTTCAAGTGGGGTTCGGTGGAACTGTCTCTTCAAGTCAGACCAAAACAAAGAAAGACAAACTGCTCAGCTTTTTTGTTTTGTGTGTGAGCCAGACCATGGTGTGGACGGCCTTCCGCTTTCGAGCTGTGGGCGCACACCGACCCAAGTGAGAGTGTTTTCTCTTTTCAGTGCCTGACCTTTTGGCCTTTCTGACGTGAGTCCTGCAGGGTAGAAGTCCGTTGTCACGTCGCTTGGGATGAAGGTGAACGCAAATTCCGTTTTTCGACGGAACACCTCGTCTTCTAAGAGCGAACCTGGAAGAAACGAAGGTGTATGATCCTCTGATGCTTTCGCAAGGTGTTTGTCTATTTTTGTTGGCCTGCGGCCAAACCGCCTGAGGTATGCGAACCAGCCCTCGGGCGAGTCCTGCTTGAGGTGAGGACCTCGATCTGCTGGCCGTATGTTCACTGACTTCGGCAGATCAGCAGCGACATGGAGCGATCTGAACATCCGCCCCGGTTCTTTCCGATGCTCCGGCGCTAAGACGACCTCTCCGCGGGGTTCCTAGTAGCGTCCTTGGCTCCTACTAGCGATGCCAGGAGCCCTATAGTACCTCTCCTGGTGTTTCCGAAAGTGAACACCCATCAGTTGGAGCTCCGACTCTCCTCATCCCGTGATGAATGACTCTCCTCGCGTCGCGTCCGGCGGGAGGCAAGCCTTCCAAACGCTGAGTGGGCCCGATGGCCGTGTCTCACGGTTAGAAGTGCGACAAGCCCTGGGCTCCAGGCAGATGACGCCCGACGGCACCGGCTGTTCTGGCGGTTGGACGTTCGGATGGTTTGGGACGGGACAAAGAGCGCGAGAAGACTCAGAACCCACAAGAGAGTTGATTCATGGCTGTCGTGGAATCTTGTGATCTTATGGAGTGATTAAAATCATGAGGAGATACTTGTGAAGTGCAGTGGATAGTGTTTGAGATGGTTTGATGCCGGTGCCGCTGATGGGCAGGGTCCGTCGTGCTTTTCTGACAGATGGCCCGTTTCAGGGGGCTACTATGGGGAAGCGAGCATCTTGGGTTGGTGATTATAGAATTTATTGAGTTTTATAATATATATTTATATATAATACCAGCATCCTCCAGCCGGTCTTCTCTAGAGAGTGGTTGGGCCTTAACACCTTAACAGGTCTCAATTGGTGACCTGTTGGAGGGTGCTGGTAGGGGTTTTACTCCTGAACGTTCCACTTTTGTTGCTTTCTAGAGTTGGATATTTTGAAATGTCAAACCCTGATTTGGTGGGTCATGGCAGCCCGGAACTCCACCTGGAGTCTCAAAGTACCCCGGAAAATGGGTAGGACCTCGTACCTGTTTTGTAGTAGGGTCATGTCCCATTTTCGGTACTGGGTCAGTCGGGTCCAGGCAGAAAATAGGTTGACCTTGTTGGGGAATCTGTTCATGACCGGTGAGATTCACCAAATTGGCTCGCCACCGTGCCACACAGGTAGGCCATTTTGACGTTCGTCCATCTGAGGCAACATCTTGATCAACAACTTGCAGAGGACCTGCGGATCCCCATCCTGTATCAGCTGTACCCGACACATGCAGACCCTGAGTCGATATTATGGCTTATAATCATTGAACGTACGTACGTACTATATTAAGCTCAAAGCACAATCACACGAACTTGAATCAACCCCTTCACCAAGCTGTTGCTGGATGCTGCAGATTCAGACCCATGCACTCAAACATTCATGACTTTTCCCTTCTTTTACATCACCACTGGCGACGTCTCCCCAACAAACATGAATTGCAACGAGGACATTGCGGCCATCTTTCCAGAAGAACGGCTCACCTTCCAGCGCTTTCAGGCGGAAGATGGACCGAGTAGTGGTTGATGGACCGAGCAACCAGCGGTGTGTTCAAGCAAGATCCTCCGACTTTGGGAGAGCTGAGAGCTGAAGTATGAAGCAAGGAGACCAATCTAGTTCAGATATCCAAGTATATAGATCGACATGTTCCTTGATTTGGCAGTTGGATCAGCAAATCAAATGAACCCTGTATAGGCACTCCTTGATGCTCTCCTTTCTTTGAGACAGCCTCTGTGCCTACAGAGGCTCCCCACTATGCTTTGGGTGCACGGATGGGTCAGAGACGAAACGTCGGATCAACCTCACGCGACGACGTCGCGTCCTGATTCGCCGGGCGCACCGGGCGCACCGGGCCGCCCGCGTGGCGTTGGAACGGTGTCGGAGCTTTCTGAGCCCTCACCTCCCTGCTGCAGCCTGGGACGGTGAGCGGTGGTGGTTCCCAATAGGCCTCCCTCCAAGCACCGAACCGAGTGCAGAAGGGGTTTGGGGTGGGTGCCAGGAGAATCTAAATACCTTCTGCGGAAGTACGACTGGAGGTGTAGGGAGGAGTCTCCCCTGCGCTTTTGCAGCGGGAGGGAAGTTTCCTCAAAGTCCGTGGGCTTTGCTGAAGAGTTTGAAAGGGCGAACTTCACAGAGTGAGACCCCCCGCATCAGTGGGAAGGGGAGCCAATAGGACCCTGACAAAGTCAACCACCCTGGCAGGGAAGAGACAGATGGGGGCTGATTCTTGGATCTGAGACCCCTCCCTGGTGAGGAGTGCCTGCAGAAGCATGAAGACTTGGGCCCCAGCAGCTCAGTGCAGCTGGCACTACGGCTGCGCCATGGCCAGGTGTGGCGAGAATTCACCACTCATGGCTGATTCTTGGAATTAATTTCCATAATCCATGGCCTCACGGAAATTTCCAGTGCCTTTTGGGCGGAAGATGCCCCGCCAGACCAGCCCCAACCCCCGTGGCAGCACTTGACCGGACTCGGTGCAAGGCGCGTGGCACCTGGGCCACTGGTGATGGTGAGGAGGATAACGACTCGGATCTGGATGAGAGGCCTCCGTGGAGAAACCAACCGTGATTTGAAGCTTTTTGGGGTTGAATTGATAGGAAACACCATGAAAAACACACCACCTCTAAACAGCCATTTAAAAAAAAAACTCTGAGCCTTGACCGGAAACAGAAGGGGAGCCGGGTTCCGTTCATCGAACAATTGAAAGCATCACTTCCAGATCTTCTTAACGGATGTTTACTGCAGTTTCGCTCCCAGGCCGTGTCGATCGGGTCAAGGGTTGTATTTTGGAGAATGGAATGACATGGAGAATCGGCCCACGTATTTTTACGAACACGCCAGACTTCGTGTATCATGGGGCTTCACAAACTCCATCCCCTGCAGGCCGGAAGAGAGCATCTACAGCGATACCGGCATGCATTGGAGATGGCGATTGGGGCGACGACCACTTTCAGTGTCGGATCATGTCATCGACCAGCTGGTCGATTTAATCTTCTTCCACGGGACCTCGCCAGGCAAAAATCCGATGTCTTCACATCAAAGGTTTGTTAGGTTGAACTGCTGAAAAACCAATAATGCGTCACTTGTGCTGTTTCTGGAGCTGCAGATGTTTGAGCCACACCTGTTTGAACAGAGGCCGCACTTGCTTGCCACCTGCTTGGTGTTTTAGGAGGATGTAGGGTCAAAGCCTTGGGGTGCAGATGGAATGAGCTGGTCCATCCCGTTTGCACATTGGCGTGGTGACCCTGCTTGGCAGGTGCTTGTTGCCGAGTGATTGGTTGTGCCCAAGTACCTTGGGCTGTTCAATCGCCGGCGGTGCATCTTCATTGGGAGTGCATTATATACCTAGAGCCTATAGAGCCTTTTTGTGACCTCCATTTTGGACCACCAACCATAAGAACATATGGTCCAGCTTCCTATCAAAAAAGAGGTCAATACCTGGGCTCCAGCAATACAGATGGTACCCAGACGCATTCAGACGTTGTGTTGTCGCCCGAGCTCCACTAGTAGCTCTGATCTCTCAGCTTGGGCAGCTGGTATGGCGGGACATTGCTGGACATCCGATTTCTTTTGAAGGTGATGCATTTGGGTGGAGATTAGTGGTAAAGACTTTCAACCCCATGGGATTTCAGTAGCTACATGTACCTGCTCGAAAGATTCAGGTGTTGAGCTATGGTCATCGGTCTCCCTGCAGTTTTCACTGGGCTTCCGGTCCTCGGATGTTGGAAACAGCAAGATCTGCGAATGGACACAGAGCGAGCGTTTGGATGAACATCGGGGCAAGGCACGGTTCGCCAACCGGACGCGTACCAGTATAGTCTGTAGATTGCTAGTAGTTCAATTACTTGCCCTACGAGCAAAACATGAGCAGCCTTGTGGTGTTTATTTTTGTCTTGTTTTCCAGGTTTGCCACCTTCCCACCCCGCTCGTGTCGCTCCTTCTTCGTGTTTCTGAGCACTGGTTGGACCTGAGCACTGTTTCGACCTTGTGGGAGTGCGGGGGGCGAAGACCGCCACTGGGGCGAAGACCGCACCCCAAAGTTTCATAAGTCTTCACCCTAGGCTTCCAACAACCATTAATTTAATAGGCTTTACCCAATCAAAAACCAGGTCAACCATTGTTTTAATGGTCTTTGACTCCCAGGGTTCACATTCGTTCCGAGCATTTTGATGTGTGGACTGGCCTCCTGGCATCTCCTGGTGGCGTTTCGGAATCTTACACCATTTTCACATCCCCAAGCTAGCTTGGTGTATTGGGTTCAACTCCTTTTTCAGGGCTCCCCACATACTGACTGACCAACCGTCCTTCTTTCTTGCCATCCGTGCCGGGAGTCGACTGAGGCGCCGACTCCCGGCTACACCGATGAGCTGGTGATCACCCCTCGCTGAGTGGCCGCGCGGGCAAGCCGTGGCAAGTCGGCCCAGGACCATCGGCCTTTACCAGGACCATCCTGTCTGGGTGTCCGGGCGACAGACACCCGGTAGAGCTGGATACTCCACGTACGTGGAATCTCAGCCAGGACACTGAGACAGGATGCCCCTGGTAGGTGAAGAGAGAAGTTCTCCCCTTAGCATAATATATTGGTTTCCTACCCTGACGCCCTTGTGCGTGAAGAGGACACATGGGCCAAGCCGTCCAGTGAGGTCGGATGGCAGCCACCGGCTCGGCCATGAGATGTGTGGTGGGGTGTGGCGATCCGACTTGTGGTGCATGGCCCAGGAAGTGGACTTTTGAAGCTGACTCAGTTGGAACCCAAAGACATGTGCCCTGAAAGATTCAGACTCATGACGTGCTATGACGTCTTGTTGGTCGTTGGTCCCTACTAAGAATATGTGGAGATGAAGCCCGAGTCCAAGATGGTCCCAAAGGTTGTAGCAGATTTGCAGCTCTCCATGTTTTGCAAATCATGATGAATCTGCCAGGGCTGGGACACATTGAATTCTTCCACCGCGGTCGCGGAACTTAAGCTTGCCCTGGGAGAAAAAATACCAGGACCCTCTAACAGGTCACGTACCCTGCGACTTACCTCATTCTGCATTGAACAGCCTCCGTTTCGGAGACTTTTTTGGAAAGGCTCCCGGTACATCCATTGTGATGTTTCTCAGGTTTTTTATGACGTTCTCCCAATATTAAGTGGGATATACTCGGTCATATGGACCTCTCCTGAGTTGGTGGCTTCCACCTTCACCCAACTGAACACACGCGAGGTGGTCGCCTCTTCTGACGTTTGTTGGAAGATCCGTTCCAAGCTCCATGATCCGGCCATTTTGATCCGATAGTTGGAGCACTGTGTATATTTGCGCCGCAGCGTTCGAACTGCATAGAATGTCGAAGTCTGGCAAGACAGCAGGTGGGAGACTGGGATTGTTGGAACTTGCACAAGCCCACATGGTCCAAAAATTGGGTGGCACCTTTTCCTGTAGTCGGACTCCCAACTCATCCTGCCTGCAACTCATCGACGACTTGGCATCTCCTGATTGAGAGAATTGTTTCGTTACCAAAAGACCGGCGTGCCTGTTCATTCAGTTTCCAATTGGAAGTTATGCTTGGGGTTGACATTCATAGGTAATAGTATATAGAGGTACACCTCCTGAAACAATAATGGAACTTGAAAATTGGCCCCCTGCAGGTGGATTTCCACTTCCATGTTGATCAGTCGGAGTAACATTTCCGCAGCCTTCTGGTTCCCCACCGTTGGTGGTGGGTAACTGATGGGCACACCATCAGCGGTTTCGCATGGAAACGGCCGTTTTGTTGCAAAGGTTTGTCCTCCGTTGGCGGTGGTTTTCGCCCGTCGCATCCCGGTCGCATCGCCATGTTCCAGGTCCGACCCTTCGGAAGATCGGGAGGCCGCCCTCCGCTCCTCTCCTTACCAACAGAGGTTGAAGGACCGTAGTTCGACTATCCCAGTTCGGTATCACAGGTGACGGGCCCTAGTGAAAAAGTCACTCAACCTCTTACTTCTTCACCAACACACGCGCCATTCCACCGACCTGTGAGACCGTCTTTTTCTTTTCTTCGGAGGATTCGGAGTTCGTCGCATCGCGGCAAGTCATTGGGACCTGGGAAACCAGTCCCAACCAGCAACAAACGGCCATATTGGAACAACCGTTTGTTTCTGGTTGTGTGGTTTTCCAGGGAGTAATATATAATATATAAGGAAACAATATTGTACCTAGAGCCTGAGTAATGACCTCTATTTTGGACCAACCATCCAAAATAGGGTCCAACTTTCTAATTATCAAAACTACAAAGCTCATGTCCGGGCTCTATAGGTATATCTTTGAGCGGTTTTGAGGTGGTTTACTTTGCTTTCTTCGTTGATCCTGGTGTGTCCACTCGGCAGGGCGAGACGATCAATGTCCTCATCACCGCTGGTGCGGATGTGCGACATGTGGTCTGGGTACCACAGGGGATGTCTCTGGGTGCATGCGGTTGTTCAAGGACACACCAAGAACACACCCAAAACCATCGGGTTTCAGAAACCCAAAGTGAATGCCAGTGGACCGGTGGCAGGTGGAATCTGACAAGACTGAGCAGCTAAGAAGCGAAGAGGCAGCTGGGGATGATAATATAAACATATATCGACAAATGTACGATGCCCAAAATGCTCTTACAGTGTGTGTTTTTCATGGCTGTTCTTTTTTTTTCATATGTCAACCATCTCTATGTTCCAAGAGAGGTTGAGTGACCTTATAGGGCCCTACTGGGATACCTATGGGATAGTCTATACGGTCCTTCAACCTCTGTTGGTTGACACTGATACATGCTGAGAGCGAACAAAAACCATCAGAGACTCTTGACCGCGCCATATAGTTTTGAATACACACACACCTGCTTTGCTTCAATCAGCAATGGCCCTGGTCGTGGCTCATCCAACCCTGACCGCGCCCAGGTCAAGAGCTTGGCCCGCAGGCCGAAGGACTTTTCAACCACGGAAGACCACGTGTCATACGTTTCTTCTGGAGTTGACCGTCTCAGCAGACCGACCTGCTTGGTTATTCGACGTGTTTTCCAGGAGTTCTGAAAACTGGTCGTTGGTTTTGGGGTGAAGTCTTGATGTGCCCTGCCAGAGGTGTTGGATTTGGACGGACACCTTCTGAAAGCGGGTTCCTTTCTTTCAACATCTTGGCATCTTGTGGGAGGAAAAGCTATAGAAGAGTCATCTGGAGAAATCCTGCACAGGGAGATCGAAACGTCATTCCGTCTCTCACAGCAGCTGGAATCTCCCTCAGAGTAGTGTGAAGATGCAAGTAGTAGTAGGTTCTGTAAGGATGACTTTGAAGCACGCCCACTGGATGTTTCATTCAGGGGATCGTGGATGACCCCATTGGGTGAACGAGCCACTTCACATACTGTGCAGGGTTTTCGGATTGGTGTGAGACCATGACACCCCGCGGATCGTGGTGGATCACAAGGACGGGAACCCACCGATACCTTCACATGAGAGTCCGGCAGATCACCGTTGGATTTGCCATGTCCATTTGGCACTATTGTTATACGTTCCCAGACACTCCATGGGACTGGAATCTATGCCGCCCCATTGACCCCCCTGGCACCACCCCAATGTCATACATTGAGTGTCTGGTTTTGGCACTACGTGGGATCTTTGGGGTGTCGAAACTCGATTGGTCTCAGATCGCCACCGAGGTCTCGAGACCCGGTTCGGTACCGACGGTACGGGCCCCGGTCACCCGGTCGGCGCCGACATAAAGAGTCGAAGCGTCCTCACCGTACCTGAGGTTCGGTACGACTGGATCCCTAGGGATTGGCCTTAATCAGCATGTTGTTTTTGCATTTGAGATGGTGTGCTACCGCTGCAGCACCTGTCATGCGAGGAGCAACGGGTGCGATTCTTTCTCCACGAGAAGCAGCACGAGGCTTTCACGTTTGGTCGAACGGTGTCATCGTCGAATCGTCCGGTTTGATTCGACACCCTGTGCAGCTGCTGAAGAAGCTAGCCACCCTGGAATCATGGGATTTGAAAGGTAAGAAGCGCTTGTAAACATGGCTTCGTTTTAGGCACATTGGCGTCTTTCATGTTTTTCACTTTCACCGTTTTGCAGAGCTAGAAGTCTGTTTGGGATGTAGGTCGAAGCTAGACTAGACGCTCCTTCACCTCACCTCACCTGGTGGTGCTGTACCTTGGGGCACACGCACATTTCCGTGCCCCGCGTTGCAACGCGGCGCACTTCCAAGCCTAAGACCATACGATGTGATCGGGGCTACGTATATACTCCATAGAGATTTCTTGCGGATGCCATATATATATATATTGAAACCTCAACTCTACATTGCAGTATTACTGAATAAACAAAGAGAAACTGTTCGAAGCGGTGAAACCTCGGGCATGGAGCTTTGGAGTATGGACACCTTGGACCCGCTCGACCCGGATGGGCCGGCAAGGAGTGGAGGTGAAAGGGTTCGTGGATTGGCCGGTGAAAAGGAGGTACTTCAAAATACAAATTAATAAAACACCAGAAGCATCTCTTAGAAACCATGTGGACCATCCGAAGACCGAACAGGTTTTCACTCCACAGAACCGTGCTGACCCGTGACAGCTTGCCAGTTCTTTTGGGGAGAAAGGGGGTCCTCTTTGGATGTCTCCTTGGACCAGGTCTTGGCAAGACATCTGCTGTTTTTGCAGATCATCAACAACAAGGCCAGGAAAGTCCAAAAGCGGCACGCTGGTAGCGAACGTGCATGCGAACGTGCTGGTTTCCATCAATCTCGAGTCGTCGTTGGCATGTGTTCTTTTTGCTCTCCTGCTTAATCCCTAACCCGAGTGGTGATGACTCCCCCATCCCTCCCAGGCCTTATCGATCCGCGAACGGATGGAGGCCATGTCGACTCGACGATGTTCTGGCGATCGATGCTGAGGAGTCTCATGATGTATGGGTTCTTGCTCAAACAGTTTTACCGGCTTTTACTCAGCAAATAGAAAGAACCCATGCCATTGGCAGAAGACTGGGACGGGGGCCGGCAGTCCTATGGCAGTCCCATGTGTCGTGTTTGATGATATGGAGTTGGAATCTTTAGCGGAGGCTGTGATGAGTAGAGAACGAGAGGCCGCAGGGATCCGCAGGGAGGCCGCTGAGGCTGATGAACGATCAAACGAGGCATTCCCCCCACTTGAAGGCCGCAGGGAGGCCGCATGAACGCTGGAAGTGGTGCCTGGTGCAGCATGTTCCTTCCTTTTTCGCTTCCAAAGACGTGGTGAAGCCGACGATCTGAGGTGATTGTGCATCGATTTCCTGGTTTTGCACTGCCCAGCCGCTCCGTTCACAGCCCGACTGGTCCCTCAAAACCATAGGGTTTGGTGGATTGGTTCGGGTCCAGACCCCTCCACATGAGGGCCCCACGTCGCGTTTGGGTGGTCCACCATCTCCGAAACACGCCCGGCGCCTCGCCCCGTCGTCCGCGAGGGGCGCTACGCTTCGCTTCTGAGTCTGTCGGGTGTCGCCGGGTGTA